TGTGTGGCCAGCTCAGCCCACCAGGGGGCGGGGCTGGCTGGCATGTGGTGCTGGGGGATCGAACCGCGGTCCCTGATGCTTCGCTAAGCTTGTTCCAAGTAGGTGCTTTAGACCACTGAGCCATCTCACCAGCCCCCAAGAATTTAAACTTCTTTCTTGCTTTTATTTTTTTCTTTTGATGGAACCGGGGATTGAATTCAGGCCCTTGCACTTTCCAGGGAACCGCTTATTCTACTGAGCCATCTCCCCGGCCCCAGGAATTTAAATTCTAATGTTTTGCAGGTGTTGGTAATGCTGTTGATCTACCTTAACCATTAAATTAGACTGTGCTGTCTATTGATCAAAAATTCATCAAATAAAGGAAGACCCAGTACAATAGAGCTTTTGTGTTGACATATGCTTCCATGGTCATAGGCAGGAGGAAAAGGAGAACATGACAAGCCAGTTGCTGCTCCTTAAAACATCTTTTGTTTTATTCACCAAACTATGTGTTTATGTAGCTAAGCCTGATATCAGTGGAGTGGAGGACGTATGACCCTCCTCCAAGGAAGGACAACAAATGTGTGTGAACTGGTACAGTCTGTTACAGACTTTTATTCTGCATATGTGATAGGTACTACAAATAGCTGTGAAATTGTGCAAACTACTCTTTTCCAGCCTAACAACAGAAAACCTAAAAAGCGAAGTCAGTACCAATATGCTTAAACAATATATACTTGAAAATGAAGCAGAATGGGGTAGGATATGTACTGAATGACATTTGAATCTGTAATAATGGCTTCATGATGGTACCTTTAACTTGAAGGCATGTTGTTCCGCTGGCTAACTTAAAAGCAGTTACTCAGCTGATACCTGTTTCTACCTGGAATGCTGGCCATAGTCGGAAAGGAAGAGGTTACCAGAAAATGTCTGCAGGCTATGTGTCCGAAATGGGTTTGTATGCTAGACTTTATTTTTTCCTTTTTGTAGTGCCCTCTTAATGTCTTGTTGCAGGGTAGTGTGGTTGTTAGGGGACTATCCTTTGCCTTTTAGAATGATGCCTTGCTTTTACCCACTATATGCCAGTAGCAGTCTCTGCCTAGTTCTGACAACCAAATTTGTCTTCAGATATTACCAACTGTATCCTGCTGGGAGGGTGTGATCAAATTGTCCCTGATTGAGAAACCACAGTTCTCAGTGACTTTGTTACCTTACACTGAGGGGGAAATACTTTTTCAAAGAACACGAAAGGTACCTCATAGGAACAACCAGGGATAATAAATAGCTTTTTGCAGACTAGTAATGTGCATGACTGGATAACTCAGTGTTGTGATGACCAAAGCTGCTTATATTAAAGAGAGTACTAAAATACCTATTAATTACCGAAATTAACTGCTGGTTTTACCCTTACAAATGTAAGATCTAGTACAACTTCAAAAAATACAGTAATTCTCTCCCTGTGGTTATATGGTTCCTAAGAAAAGCATTTGAGAATTTAAGGGAATGTGAGGACACTAGACATTTTGCTTTGGTCATAAATCTTACTTACTGCTTGTTTGCCTGAAAGCTATGTCAGAGATGGACATGAAACAGCGGAAGAAGATGTTTAAGAAAGTTCGAGGGAAAGACGTTTATATGACAATGCCTAACAGGGGAGACCGCCTTTCTCCACCCAACCTTCAACACAGTATGCATTATGGATATGACCCTCCACCTCCACTGCACTACTCTCAGACAGCTGACAATGTTATGTGCAGTGAACAGTTTCATTTTCAACATTCATCTCATAGACAAAGCCGAGGATTTGGAGTACCCAGGTAAAATTTAACTGACTTTCCTAATGTGTTTTTGCTTAGAATTAGAGATAATTCCTAGGCAGAATTGTAGGAGAATTGAGATATATTTTATGATTTTAAATATCTTGTATACTCTATGCCGGAAGAGAGCATAGAAAACCAGACATGGTGGCATACGCTTGTAATCCCAGCACTAGGGAGGCTGAGATAGGAGGATCCCTATGAGTCTGACCTGCATAGTGAGACCTCGTACTGAGTAAACGATTAACAAAAATTTTAAACATAAAGATCATAGAGCTGATGGATACTTAACATTATTGTCGAATGAATTCATTGGCAGATTTGTATTCTCAAAGAATGAAGAGGATTGTGAAGGAGGTGAAGAGATTCTCAAAGGTGGAATTCCATGAAAATGTCCATGTGATATGTGATAGTATGTCCATTAATAGCAGAATTAGTATTTTGGGGAAAAGTAAAACTTTCTAGTTGGATATTTTCAGAAAAGATTTTTGATTCTGTTTAACTACAGAGATCTTTTAAACAGGATAAAGTGTTCTTTTTCTTTTTATTTTCAGGGATTCATCTCGTTTTATGAATAGGCACATATCAAATCCTAAAGTTGGTCTTTACTCTGAACCAGGTAATAGGTGCTGCCAGAGTTTTGACAACTTCTCCTATAGATCTCGGTAAGTATGGAAGTCAGGAAAAATGGGAGTTTAGTTTCACTCCTGAGCAATGAAAATACGGGGTTAATTTTTAAAATACCTGTTTGAGATGTCTGAACTGCTGGAAATTAAAAACAAATTAATCATATTTTATCATATTTTTTCCAAAGTTCTTTCAAACGTAATAATCGCCAGATGCATTGTATGAATAAGGAGTGTCTTTATGGCTTTGTCCCCGAGAATGGACAGATGCTCAGTGGCTTAGAAGAAACTGTTAATTTTTATGAAGTTGAAGGAGATGAAACTGCTTATCCATCTTTACCTGTAAGTGGGTCAAAGCTTCACCCAAAGAGCTGTTTTTTTTTTCTTTTTCTGAAGGTAGTATATACATTTTAAGGTTATGAAAAGCTGAATAAACTTCTTGGAAAACATGAACTTTCATCGTGGACCTTTTAAAGGATGAGAGAAGAGACTTTTAAAGTGTATCTCAGAGAAAGGGATAGAGACAGACATCTTGCATATGTGTGTATATTAGTATTTTGTTTCTTTTATCATTCTTTGTTTTTTGATTCTAAAGTACAGTTTAAAGTATTTACTCATAATGCTTAGATTTCTCTTACAGCAGCAGTTCACAATGTTTGTTAGTCTAGTGGAGAACCTGAGGCACATGTGCTGCAGCAGGTTGTACCATTGATAGCTCTAAAAGATTTTCCAACACTGGTCTAGTTTCAAAACATTCCTCTAACTTATGTGTCTTGTCTTTGGTAGAACCATGGTAGTCCCTCTATGATGGTTCCTGCTACTTCGGGATACTGTGTTCCGAGGCGAGGCCATAGCTCCGTAAAACAGAGTTCAAATTCAGAAGAGGGCAATAGCCAGAGCGACAATGGTGAGTCAGTTAGTGTCAAATATTTTGAAGAAGACACTTATGATAAAACATCTTTTGTCTATTAAAAAAAGACTTATGGGATTAGATTAGCACATTGGTACTATACAGTAAACCAAAATTTTGGTTTAGGGGGATGTCTTACTCTGTTTTATTTTGAAAAAGACATGAAAACGTTCATGACTCAGATGCTTGATTTTTGAAGATGTTTCGGTACTTCTCAAAAGAGCAGACTCGTATTTTAGTAGACCACTATATTGTTAAAATTTATTTTCAGCTCTTTATAGGTGTTAGTGAAGTTTGATTTGCTAAAATACCAGTACAGAAAACATGTTTCTTACTAGAAAGGTGCTATTCATAGCTGTCCTCGTCATTTGTATACTTCAGTCTTTTTATGTGATTAGCTCTTACTTTATAAGAATGCTGTATGTTCTTCACTCAAAGTTGTATACTTGATCTATAAAGATTACTATTTACTGAATTCTATGTGTCATTTATTTTAGTAATTTAATGTGGTCCTTACTTAATTATGTAAGGGAGAATTTGAGATCAAAGGTAAATTGTAAATAGCTGAGGTCACATGAATGGTGAATAGCAGAGATACCATTTTTTCTGGGTTATTGCAATTTAATCATGAGGTGTTTCAAATTCCAGTTGATGTTGCAGATATTTTATTATCCTAAGAAATTAAGTCCTCTGTACCTTCTGTGCTATGTGTGGCAAATGCTGTTCGCTTGCTCCATACCTGTGAACATCATAAAAGCTATGCAGACATACCATTTTTGTAATAACTTTTGGAGATAAAATTTAGATAGAATTTACGTACTTGAAATGTACAGTCCAAATATTTTTAGTATATTTAAACTTACATAACTATCATCAGCTTTTTAGGAGGTACTTTTTATTATCCCAAAGAAAAATTCCATACCTGTTAGCACCTATTGTTTCCCTCCAACTCCCTACCTCCAGCCTTTACCAATTACCAGTATCTTCTGTCTATGGATTTGCCTATTCTGGACATTTCATATAAATGGAGGCATACAATATGTGGTCTTTATGTAACTGGCAAACTTGGGTTTGATTGTAGAATTGTACTTATAGACCCTTTACAGTTTTGTTAGTGCTTCATCCTTCAACCCAGCAGAAGGGTGGGCGGAACCCACTGTATACTTGTGTGCTCACTGCTATCTCCCAGAGCTTTCCTTGCTCAACATTTTCTTGGGGTGCAATGGGGTCGCTGACCTCTCAAAGGATGCAGAGGTGCCTTCCCTATACCTCTCTCTGGACTTTGTCCTCCCCATGGATGGATCCTACACCTTTGATAAGAGTTGCATGCCTGTCTTGTTTTACCACATGGGGTTGCTCTTTTGGTAGTGCCATGAGCTGTCTATTTTTAAATTGAGCAAGCAAGTGGAGAGCTTCTCTGGTGGCGATTCATGGGTCAGTCTCATGTAATACAAAGTGCTCAGAGTCCTTGAAGGTGGATGTCCCACAGTGGGATACCCTAGACACCCCCCCCAATTGAGGAATTTCCCTGGATCAGGGATGGACAATACTGGGGACTCTAGATATTCTAGGTCTGTTTTCTTGACTCTATTGCTTCTTTATCCTATGTGACTCCAGGAGACCAGAGAAGGTCCCAATTTCCTATTCCTGCTGTGATGAGTTACCACAGACCTGGTAGTTTAAATTAGCAGAAGTAAAAAATTAATTAAGAAAGTTTTGTTACCTTTCACTATTGGGTGTATTTACTTTTACCATGTACTGATAATACATGTCTACTGAAACAGTTCTGGTTGATGGAGTAGTTTAAGGAGGTATAAGACATTGTGAATGATTTGGCTTTATTAAAAATTGTCCTTTTTTCATGTGATATTCTTTGTGCTACTTATGCAGAAGAAAATGTACTCGGACTTTCTAGGAATTTTTTAATGTATTTAGTACAGGGTCTAACTACACAGATAAGACTCACAGTGATCCTCCTGTTTTCAGCCTCCCAAGCCCTGGGATTTTTTTTCCCCCGGCAGAGCCGGGGATTGAATTTAGGCCCTTGTACTTGCCAGGGAACCACTTGTTCTATTGAGCCATCTCCCTGGTGCACTGGGATTATAGGCGAGTGCCATGAGGCCCAGAGTCAATCTCAGTCAATTGCTGTCTCAGTGTGCCCTAGGGTTGGGGTCGACAAGGCATGCCAGGGATCGAATCCTGGTCCCTGCATCTACCTAAGCAGGTGATTTGATATGTTGAGCTATCTGGCTGACACTTTTCTAGGAATTTAATGGAACAAAGAATGTACAGAATGATGTGGGAAAACGTGTGTGCATGCATACATAGGCTTAAGTGTACTTGCTCTTTTTTTTCAGATACCTCTTATCTTTCTTTTAGTCCCTGTACATAGCTTCAGATGTATGGCCTTGCTGTCATACTGTATTTGTTCTGTTTTATTCCTGCTGCCATCTGGAGGAGTTCATGCCTTTGTAATTGAAAAGTGATATGTTTAAGAATCAATCCAGGGGGGCCTGGCCCTAGCTCAGTCCTTTAAGTGGCTGCTTCCACAAAGCTGTCAGCCTCAGGTTGCTGGAGTTCGAAGCTCACAACTCTCCCACTGGCCAAAAGTGCCCTGAAGGCATTCGAGGAACAACAACAACAAAAAAAAAAAAACAAAAAACCCTTACTGGGGCAGGGGAAATGGCTCGGTAGAATAAGCGCTCACCTGGCAAGCACAAGGACCTGAGTTCAAAACCTCGGTTCCACAAAAAAAAAAAAAAAAGAATAAAGAATCCAGTTTAGATTTATGGTGTTTTATTTGGTGAAAAACTGTCAGACTAAAAATTGACTTTATCTGCATTTCAGTGATGTGATCTTGAATCAGATTACTTCAATCTAAGCCAATATTTGAGGAGAAATTGGCTTTACATATACAGCACTACGTGTAAAGGCTGAACAACAGAGGAGTTTTGAAATATTCCTTCGTTGTCCCACTAAATAAACTATAGGTTATAGTCATTACTTTAGACACACCAATTGAATGTTTGACTATATGCCATTACTATCCTAAGTTATTTTCACTCTGTAAAGCCTCTTCAAAGTCTTTGTGAGCTAGGTACTGTTAACCTCTACTTTCCAATGAAGAAATTGAAGCAGGAAGGTTTATATTTGCCCAGTCATATAGCAAACCATATTTCATACCTAGCTAATTCTGGCTCTAGAGCCTATGTACTTGTCATCCGGTACCACCCATTGCCCTGGAAAAATTTGACACTTCTGGGATTTTCACCTCTTCCTGAATTCTTTTTTTTTTTTTT